AAACATCGATAAAAAATTAAATAAAATTATTTTATTTTTAAATTGAGACATTTAAATTTTATTGAATTTTACTAAATATAATACATAATTAAATAGTAGAGGGTCAAAATAGTCATTTTACCACTTAATCCCAACATTGTTCCCCCAAAATTGTCCCACCCCCCTTAGGACACAATAGTCCCCCATATGGGGCATAAGGAGTCCGGCCGGACTCCATGTCCGGCGGATTAAAAAAAAAAACAAACGCTGGATTGGATGCTTCTTCCGGATTACAATCCGCACAGTAAATAGTCCCCCCTTATCTCCCAATGAAACACCTCCTAAAAGTGATATCATGGTAAAAAATGAGATAATTTTGAGTATTTCGTTTATAGATTTGGGATTATTGATGCGTATAATGCACTCCAATAATTGTTGTATAATTTATTGGGCTCATTTCAAAACTCTTTAATGATTCAAATAGTTTATTCATTTTAATAATTTGATAAAAAGATAATCAATATCTGATCAATTTAATTTTTTACTAATATATTCTACTCGGTATTTATAAAAAAGTGAATTGTTTGAATTATCAAAATAAATTTCGAAATGAGTCACCAAGATGCACAATGCGCAACAACATTCCCAAATTCTTCGCTTACACATTTATAATACATGTGAACATAATTAGCCTCCGTTTGAGAAGTGAGTTGACTTTTTGACTTTTTGGCTTTTTTGACTATTTTAGCCTGGGCTTAAAACCTTGGTTTGGGAAGAGCTTTTTGGCTTTTTGATTTTTTTGAGTTTTTTTGTGAGAGAAGAATGTAATGATTATGAGTTAGATGTGATGTTTTGTTTGTTATGGCTAAAATAGCCTATTTTATTTTTTGTGCCTGAAATAGCCAAAAAAGCTCAAACCATGGCTTCCCAAACGAAGGCTTAGAGTACATGTGGACAGAATTCATATTCAGGTTCATCAATTTAATAATTGTGTTTTGCCTAATAATATGGGTTTAGTCATTAGAGATTATCCCCAAAAAAAGCCAAGGGTGCACATCTATTTTTTAGTAATTCTAGGACTAAAAATTCATATACAAAAAAATATTTAAAAAAATAATGCGCAAGTCAAATTCATTTTAGTTTATTCCAAATAGTGCTTTAGGAATTATATGACTTTTGACATTTTACTAAAAACCTTAAAAGTCAAAAGTCAACTTTTTAATCTATTTTTAATCATATCACTACTCTATTTTTTATATATTTTTTTTAAAAAAAAAATCAAAAAAATTAAAAAGTCAATTTTTAACCAATTTTCCAAAACAACCCTAAGGGTGCGTTTGTTTGGACAGACTGGATAAGGGGGGATTGTAATCCATCGGACTGTTAGTCCCGGGATACATTGTCCCCGGACTATTTGGTTGGACTGGATTTGTATCCTATGTTTGTTTAGTCATGGGATTAGATGTCTGGATTGAACTATTTTTAATGAATCCAATGTTTGGTTAGACGGACTGGATAAGGATAAATGTTCAAAAGACTATTTTATCCTTGTAATTTATAATTTTTATTTAATATATAATTTTAAATTTGTAATCTATAATTTATAATTTAACAACACTAAAAAAATTTAATTTATAAGGCCATAATTTATAATTTATTATTTTTAAATAAATTTAATTTATAATTTATAATTTTTATTTAATATATAATTTTAAATTAACAACACTAAAAAAATAATTTATAAATGTTCAAAAGACTATTTTACCCTTTCTAATTGTTTACTAAGTAATAGCATGGAGGGTAAAATGGACATTTCACCAAATAATCCAATGGGATATCAATCCCATGGTTTCTATCCCATACCCCCCATGGGATAGAATAATCCCATATTTGTGGGACTAATAGTCCGGGGCAAAAATTTATAAACAAACAATGGACTATTAGTCCGGTGGGATTAATAGTCCAATCCCACACCCTTATCCCTCGAAACAAATATGCTGTAAGTGTAGCTCCACCCTACAAGAATTGAATATGAAGTATACACTATTTTCTTTTAGGAAAATACTGCATCTAATCCATTTTTCTTGTATCTTTTTTTCACACAAGTGGTTTGGAGTTGGTTTATTTTTAGTTTTTTTTTATTTTTTATAAAAAAAAATATATAGAAAAATAAAGAAATGATGTGAGAACTTGTAACAAATAAGCTCTGTATTTAGATTGTTGCCAAACCTCCCAACACAAGTGGGTGTCATGTATATTTATTATCAATAATGCTTAGTAATCCAAATTTTCATAGTCCGAATGGCTCGAATGTCATAAAACGACGTCGTTTTGAGTATAAAATGGTATCGTTTTAATACATTCGAGTCATTCGGGTTAAAAAAATTTGAGTTTAAAATGACATCGTTTTAATACATTCGAGCCATTCGGGTCAAAAAAATTTGAGTTACCAAACATTTCTCATTTATTATTGTGAGCTCCAATGCTTTGGCTATGTTTGGTTTGGTTTTGAAAATTAATTTTAAAAAAATTAAAAATTAAATTGATAAAAAAAAATGTAAAACTAAAAAATAATTATCTTTTTTATATAATTTTATCTTTTGAGAGGGTATAAATAATTTAACAAATCAAAAATATATTTTTGATATTTATTTTTGTCAAATTAATTTTTATTTTGTCAAAAGAATTTATAAACTCAAATCAAATGTGATCTTTGTGTCTAAGTGTGGCAAAATGAGATAAAAAATAAAACTATAGAGTTTTGTTAATGAATGCTGTTAAGACATTTTGATAAAAAGAAAAAATTAAAATGTATATGCTTGATTTATGAGAGTGTGCAGAATGCTCCGTTTGGCAAGAGCTAAACGGGCTTTTTTGGCTATTTTAGTCACAAAAGATAAAATAGACTATTTTAGTTACAAAAAATAAAATATCGCATCTAACCCATAATCATTACATTCTTCTCTCACAAAAAAAGTCAAAAAAGCCAAAAAGTCAAAAAGTTCTTCTCAAATCAAACTTTTTAATCCAGGCTAAAATAGTCAAAAAAATCAAAAAGTCAAAAAGTCAACCCACTTGCCAAACGGAGGCAAAGATTGGTTCAAGCATTTAGAGAGATATTTAAAAAGGAAAAAAAGAAAAGTAAAGTAAAATGTGAATTAAATATAACAATATTTCACATATATTTTACACATTTTTTTATTTTTCTTTTTCAAATCACCTTCATAATTTCACAACGTACAATCAATTTGAACTAGTTAACCAAACCCAATTACGGGATTGATTGGGAATGCAAATAAGTGCCCTTATTTGATAACTATATTTATTTGGATTACATGGGTTTGATTTTAGTTTTTTAAATTTAATTTTCTAAAAACTTGAGTTTTTTTTTTGTTTTTCTTGTTTTTTTATTTTTAATGAATATTTTTAAAATTTTAAATAATTTTTTTACTTTTTTAAATGCACCTTACTTAGTAATATCTAAATAATAAAATATTTGTGAAAAAATATTTTAAAAAATTAATAAATACACAAAAATATGAAAAATGTACTGAATTTTGTATTTTTATATTTGGTGAATTTTTTGAAATTTTTTTTCACAAATATTACACTTTTTAAGTGTATTTATGTTAGATGTGTCTAAAATTAAAAAAAAATCTTAAAATATTAAAAAAATTCATTGAAAATAAAAAATACGGAAAATAAAAATGTAGAATTTTATGAAATATATTTCCTGGAAACCAAAACCAAAAAGTTAGTTTTTTTTTTTATATTTTTTACATTTCTTTATAAAAAGTCAAAAAATATATTAAATAAATAAATTCCAAAGTAATTTTATTTATTTATTTATTTTTATTTTTATTTTATGGGTGTTTGATTTATTAGCATATACTTAGCATTAGGTGAAAAAAAAATTATTCCAAAATTAACAAGCCTTGTCAAAATGTCACGTGAGTGTGTCTGGTCAACGGGAAAACCCAACATTCTTTGACTTCATATGAAAAATTGACTATTTTAATAAATTATTTTAATTTTTAATTATTTTAATAGATTAAAATATATTTGAAAAGATATTTAATCTTTTTATAATTTTTTTTGATAAGATATTTGTAAGAGAAAAAATAAAATAATTATGAGTTTAATATAATATTTTATCTTAATAACTATTTTAATTTATTTTATATTTTTGTAAATTTTAGTCCAAAAAGTAAAAAATAGTCTTTGCAAATAAAGCCTCCTTCACCTTTTTCTTATATATAGGCTTATTTTCCCCGTTAGGAAAAAATCATTATTTACATATTGACTTATTTAAATTAGAGAGATTTATTAGAACTTTTATTTTAAGTGTTTATATTTTAATTAGTCTATAAGATATATTTTTATATTTCAATAAGTTTTATTATTTGAATATTTGATCTATCAAATCTTAATTCTCATATTTAAGGAATTTTATGAATATTTTTACCCTTATAAATATTTTTTGAGCGGTTAGTAATTTGGTAATGCAAATATTCATATTGACGTGTGAAAGTTCACATTAACAGTGTGAACATTCAAATTGGCAATATAAATATTAACATTGATGGTGTGAACATTCACATTGACCATGTTTACATTCAAATTATAAATGTGAACATTCATATTATTAGGGATAACATTCACTCATAGGACTTATTGCAATATCAGAAAATAATGTGAACTAAATGGAACATAAGTAAGTAAAATGAGATTTATGAAAATGTTCCCCTTTAAATTATGTTATTTTTATATTTTTTTTAAGTAATTTTTTTCAAAAAAATAAAAAGAATAAAAAAAAAACTTTTTTTTCTTAGTGGTTATTTGGCCTGTGCTAAAATAGCACATGTTGTTTTAACAGATTATCATATTTAAATCACAATCATCTTATTTAAAGCACATCACGTTACATCACTTCTTTATCAAATCACTTCAAATCCAATTCATATTTTATATTTTTACATTAAAAACCAAAAAACATATCCAAACACTTCCTGCTTCCGAAAATAGGCCTTATATGTACCCCCACGCGCACATACCACAAAGCAACAACAAAGAAAATCGATTTTAAACACTTTCAAGCCGAGAGGTCAATCTCTCTCTCTCTCTCTCACCCACACACAGATTCTCTACCAGAAACTCTTCTTTCTCTACACCATGGATGTAAGTATTCTTCTCTTAGCACGACTTCTAAAAAATGTCCACATTTTATACTAATAGTACTACTTTTTACAATATACTACAATGTTTGATTAATTTTTTTTAAATGGTGTTATTGATGAATAGGACTTTCGGAGAAGCCATGTACCGGCTTTCGGAAGCTGGGATTGCACCGACGATCTCCCTTTCACTCAGTGCTTCGAATCGGCGAGGCAAGCCGGCTTGCTTCGCTACAGCTACTCTGCAGATCGCGATCTCTACGTCGCCGGCGATTTGTACGAGAACGACGTCGTCACTCCCGCCATGATCGTCGTCCCTCGCCGAAGGGTAAGCATAACCAACTCTGTTTTCGTTTCTGAAAGCATTTTTGTTGTTTTTTGAAAGCAAACTCTGTGTTTTTTATTTTTGGAAAATGGGGACATTGTTGTGATGAGTGTTTTTTCTTTCTTTGTTTTTTAAGGCAAAAGCACGTTACCCGATTGTGAAAGGAGCGAAAAAGGAGGCATGGGTGGTGTGTGATGTGAAGGAACCGCCGAGCCCCGTTTCTCTTTCTCCGCCACCGCCGCCGCTGCCGCCGAGAAAAACTCCCAAAGCTGTTGACGAAGATCTCTACAAGATCTCGCCGGAACTCCTCCGCGCCAAGCACCGAAGAGTGAGTTTGTTCTTCCGTACCATACCCTTTCTTTTTTCTACTCGCTCGCGTACTAGCTAAAGCTACATGTCTGTCACATTCATGACAGCGTAGTTGGAAAACCATGAAAAACCAACAAAGGGGAGGAAAAAATTACAGTAATACTCTGTTTGGATGGAGTCACTGGGGGAAAAGATGATAAGAAAGACAAGTTTTTATCATTTCTGTTTATAAATTACACTCTTTTGGATAGAGAGGTTTGGTAAAAAAAAAAATAAATAAATTGTGAGGATAAGAAATTTGTTTATTTGTTTAGATGGTTAAGGAAGTGAAATGGCGAGAAAAGAATTTTCACTTACGATATATTTGGTTGGGAGATTTGAAAAGGAATTTAGAAAGAAAAAGAAAAAAATAAGGTAAAATAGAAATAAAATATACTTACATTTCATATAATTTCACACTTTTTTTCTTTTTTTTTTTCAAATTTCTTTTCAAATTCCCAAACCAAACACAGGCGTGTGTTTTGTTTTTCATCAAGAATGATGAGTTTTTTTTTTTTTTGATCTAAGAGTTATGAGATTTGGTGGGAAAAAAATGAATTTAATGATTTTTTAAAAAAAATATTAAAATTATCCTATGATGGAAGAAATTAGAAAAATAACTTATTAATATAAAAAATTATTTAATAAAATAAAATAAAATATTTTTTTTCTTTCTTTTATTTACTCTCTCTCTCTTTTATTCATCCAAATACAAAGATAATTTTTTTTTTCTCATCTCAATATCTAAACGGAGTATAAGTGATAAAAGGTAACAAATACTGAGAAGAGTAATAAAATGCATAATACACCCTTAAAATACAAGAATATTAAAAAATATATATCACTCATATGCCTCTCACTTGCATTGTGTATTTACTCAGTGTGAATGAAAAAATAATTTATCTACATAATTTCTCTTCCCAAATAACATAACAATGTATTAATATCATCACCACAAAGTTGACAAAATGGGGACCACAGGTGATTATCGTCTGAATCATGTGATAGAATCATGCCCCCCTTTATCAATGGCGTAGACTTTTGATTGTTGATTTCGTGTAAATTAGGTGGGTCCCATGTAATAAAAATATACAAATAATAAAAAAGTAAAAACAGTTTTTTGGGTAAGTTAAAAAAAAGAAAGTAAAAGCAGTTGGTTCAATGGCGTACTGTACTGAATGATTTTAATTGTTTCCATGTGATGGTTCATCATAGTAGGTGTAAAGGGCTCATGTTCGCAGAAACTGTGATTACTTATAAATTCGACTTTAGGGTCATACGATCCTATGGACTCCAAAGAATTATTTAATATTTATGAGGTGAAAATTAAATTTGTATAGCGTAAGATTTATATATAGAACAAATATGAGTTATAAATTGATATTTTTAGATAAAAATTTTAAGTAATATTTCTAAATGTATAGTTTTATTGCATACTCTGAGACACCACACCACAAGTTAAATGTGTGATAATATCAAATATTTATTTAATTTGCTTTTCATTCTAGTTAATGAAATATTACATTAATCACAATAGGTTTTCATTTAGCCTTACTTTTAAGCTATATTTAGTTAAAAGACTTGATAAAAAAATGAAAAAGGGAAAAGAAATGTAATTTTATTTTTTGTTTGGGTATAATGAAAAATATAAGGGAAAAGAAAGTGAGAAAGAAATGTAATGCCACATTTTGTCTTTTAAATTAACTTTGTGTTTGGTTCGTGGATTTAGGAAGAGATTTAAAACGGAAAAGAAAAATGTATGTAAAATTAGTTAAAAACTAGATATATTTTATTTACATTTCATATATCTTTTTCATTTTTTTTCAAATCTTTTCCTAAATTCTTAAACCAAACACAGTATTGGGCCCTTTTTTTTTCTCCATTTTTCAACTAAACCAAACATAGTTTTGAATTCAAGTTCTATTAATTTTTTTTTTTCATTTTCTTTCTATTTACCTTTTCCTTTTTATTTCTCTAGTGATTTTATATTTACTTATATATTTTTGTGTGTTTGCAGAAGAGAGGATGGGGCTTGTTTTCCAGCTGCCTGATGCCGACGTGTGCCTCATGAATCTGGGTGTGGAGCTTATTATCCAACGTACATATAAGTGGCAAATGGGAAGAACTTTATATATATACATATATATATATATGAGTGGTGTTAATGTATTTTTTGAGTTAGAGAGAGAAAGATTGTTGGCTGGAGGAGAAGATGAATTATTGATCATTATCATATGATAATGGGGTTAAAGGAAACGGTTTTATTCCTTTGTCTTGTAATCTTTTTGTGGGCTTTTTTAGGTGTCAATCTCTGCTGCTTGTTCAGATCCAGCCTATATTATGCCTATTGGATATGAAATAGGGGAGTATTGGAATTTGAGCTTTAAGAAAAAGTGATTAAAAAAAAAAACAGATCAATTTGGTACTATTATTACTACTGCTAGTGCTTCTGCTTGTTCTTCATCTTCAAATTATGGTGTCCATTTTATTATGTAAAATATTTTACATATATGTTCAGTATTCCATTCATTCTTCTTTATGGTGTGAATACATTCGTACCACTAAGACTTATCCATGAGATTTCCTATTTCCCATTTCCCATTTATTGGTTATTTTTCATTTCATTTCAAATTTATTTTGTAAATTTGAAAATCATTTGTACAATGATATTTGATGAAATTGATTTTTTGTACACTTTATCGGTATTGTTGGGCTTACGAGATATAACATTTTGGATCATCATCGCGAAGAGCATCAAAATGAAGTATGGAGAATAATGGTATGAAAGGGAAGTCATTCTTTATTGTAATGGCTTCTAAGCAGTTTCTTATATTATATATAAGCCATGTAAATATCAATCTTTCAAAGCAGTTTCTTATTATAATTTATGAGATAAATAATTTAAATAAATTATAATAGAAAAAAAATACCAAATTGTTAGTGGGCAGGAAAAGTCCCACAATTATAGATGCAAATATATGTATATATATATATATATTTTTAATTTCCATCTGTGTATTTATATATGGGATTTTTTATGTTCCTAGCAGGTTCAGTCACTAGATTAATTGTATGTGTTTTTTTATTTAAATGTCAAGTTTTATTAATTCCTAAAAAACTTAGCTTGGTTTGCTAACATGTTGGGCTATTGTGCTATGAATGCATGATTATCATTCAGTCCTCAGAATTGTGAAAATAAATTATATGCTACAATTTTTTCGTGGTTTCTTATTATAATTTATGAGATAAATAATTTAAATAAATTATAATAGAAAAAAAAATACCAAATTGTTAGTGGGCAGGAAAAGTCCCACAATTATAGATGCAAATATATGTATATATATATATTTTTTTAATTTCCATCTGTGTATTTATATATGGGATTTTTTATGTTCCTAGCAGGTAGGGCTGAGCAAGGAATCCGTGAAATCCGTAATCCGATCCAGTCCAGTCCAATCAGATAGGTTTGGATTGGTTTTTTGAATCTGTGGTTCGGTTCCGGATTGAAAAATTAAAAATCCGTAATACACAGATTGGTTCTGGATTAAATCCCACGGTTCTGGATTGGAACCGATCCAGACCGTATACAAATAGTATATATTTTTATTATACATCCTCCCCCATAGTATCTTCTCTTATTCTATATAAAATCTAAACTCAAACCTAAAACCGTATAATATCTTCTTTTATTGCTTTTGTTTGTTAGTTTTTAGTTTTAATTTGTAATAGTCTAAATACTTATGGTGAAACCAGTTTTCTTATGGTTGTTTAAATTCTAGCACAGTATGTCGCTATTATAGAAATAGATGTTGCTATTGTGGAACTTATATAGCGCTATGTTTATATTTTTATGAAATTAAAGTGTTATATATATATTTTTTATTATTTAATTATGTGAATCCGTGGTTCTAAACCGATCCAATCCGTATTTAAATGGATTGGTTCCATGATTTAAACGGATTGGATTGGTTCCAATTTTTCAGGAACCGTAGATAACAGATTGGTCCTGATTTTACCCCAATCCGATCTAATCCGAACCATGCTCACCCCTACTAGCAGGTTCAGTCACTAGATTAATTGTATGTGTTTTTTTATTTAAATGTCAAGTTTTATTAATTCCTAAAAAACTTAGCTTGGTTTGCTAACATGTTGGGCTATTGTGCTATGAATGCATGATTATCATTCAGTCCTCAGAATTGTGAAAATAAATTATATGCTACAATTTTTTCGTGATAATGATCATTTTTGTTTTAAAAAATGTTGAGGGTGTGTCAATCAAATCATTTTTTTTATTTAATTATCAAAACTTCTTTATTGGCTTATTTTTAAGTTTTAAAAATGGTGAAATATCAATAAATTTTAAAATGTGATTTTATAAATTGTTTAATTTTTTTTTTTCTTATGAACTCAAAAGTTATATTAAAGTACAAATTATATAAAATGGTAATCACTTACACGTTTAAGTTTAAGTTTGTAGGGATAAAAGTGAGTTTCTCTACATGTGAAATTACATATTTGGGTAATTTGCACTATAACACTTCAATAACGTAAAACTCCAATGCAACACAAAAAAAAATTCATTAGTATACTTTTTTTCCAAATGTAATAATGTAACACGAAAGGGAAAAAAAAAAAAAAATTAGTATACTTTCTCAAACATAAAATTCCAATGTAACACAAAAATATTAAAAAAGCTCCTTAATATATTTTTCCTAAATGTGACTCTCATCGTTTGAAATTATACATTTGTCCAAACTTAATAAGGAATTTTTGTACTCTTTTTAGAATAGTTTGAAGAATCTTACATCTTTTTTTTTTTTTAGTGTTATGTTTGGAAAAAATAAACTAAGAAATTTTTTTTGTGTTACGTTAGGGGGTCATATTTGAGAAAAGTATACTGACAAGTTCTTTTTTAAAGTGTTATATTTGAGTGTTACGTTTGAGTGTTACATTGGAGTATTATAGTTTGAAATTATGCATTTGTCCAAAACTTACTAAGGGGTTTTTATACTCTTTTTGAAACATTTGAAGAATCTCACATCTTTTTGGAATGTTTGAAGAATCATATATTTCAAGTCATTTTTTGTACTTTTTTTGAAATATTTAATGAATCTTACATTTGAAGTCATTTCAAATAAAATAAAATAAAATTCTCATATAAAAATTAATTCCAAATTTGATTATCCTAGGTTGTATATCTTACCTAAAAAGAAAAAAAGAAAAAAGAAAGAAGGAAATATAATAGAAATAAAAATATAACCATAAATTCAATTTACAAATAATACATTAAATCTACTTTTTTTAAAATCAACAAAATTAATTGATCTATAAAAAATATTTTGAATTTAAATGAATTAACATTTCTTAAAATATGATTTATAGGTAAATTTTTCTTTAAACATGACTTAAAAACATCAATCATAACGTAAATGGAATACTTTTAGTTCATACACTTGTAATATTATTATCTTTAGTTTGTGTGCCCCGAGTCCCTAACAACATTTGCATGCTTTTATTTTTTAAAAAGAAATTGTTAATGCTTCTTTTTTTCTTTTTTTTTTCCTTTTTCTTTTTCTAAAGCAAAGATGATAAAATAGACTGAGAGTGCCCTACATGAAAAGTAAAGAGTAGACTTTGATGACAAAAATTTGAAAGAAAATCGAGAAAGAAGAAAAGATATGTGTATGTTCTTTTTAGGGAATTTTTTTTAAAGATCCCTATTAATATTTTATAACCTAAAGAATATGAAATATTTTAAAAATAGTTCGCAGTCCTTAAATTTTTATAGAGAAATTTCGATTCAAAGAAATTTTGAAACACAGAGAAATTTGTTTAAAATTTCTTTTGTTTGAAATTTTTCTGATTTGCTCACAAATTTTTCTGTTTTTTGACCAATTTTTTTCTTTCTAATTTGTTCACAATTTTCTCTGTGTTTTGAACAAATCAGAGAAAATTGAGCTACTTATAAACCAATTTTTCTATGATTTTTACAAGAAAACATCATGTTGAATTTATCAAAAAACTTAAAATACAAAATCTAATTACAGTTTAAAAAACAACAAACACTACACATCCCACAAGATCAAAAATAAAATTCAAAGTTTGAAATCCAGTGAAAATCAAACAAGCAACATAAATTAGTGAGGATTTAATGTGGGTAGGAAAAATTCAAATGCTAGAGAAAATTTGAGAGAAAATCAAAGAGACAACTAATCAGAGAAAATCAAACAAAGCACGGAGAGAAAGAGAGTCCAATGTGTTCAGATAAAATTAATCTAAAGGGGATATCTTTAGTGCTAGAGAAAATTCATTTCAAAGGGAAAATTACACACAATGAGACAACTAATCAGTGAAAATCAAAACAAGTAACCTAAATTAGTGAAAGTTTAATATTTTCAGGAAAAATTCAAATATCAGAGAAAATTCAATTGAAGGAATAAATTCTCTTCCTCTTCATGGCGGTATGAGATTCACAGTAACGACGTTGTTGTCTTGCAGCCCCGTATATACAGAGATAGAGAAAATACAGAGGAGAGAGAGAGAGAGAGAGAATGTGATATATAGGTGTGGGTGAGGGATTTAGCAAAACTTAGGCAAAAAAAAAAAAAAAAAATTTATTGTGGACCTCTCCCATTATCTAAAAGTTAGAAAGGGATATTAGATCAGTTTTTTTTTAAGCCTTATTTCATAAAGTCTTTTTGTTTTTGTGTGTTTTTTAATCATATATTTTCAAAATATTTAGAAATTAAAAAGCAATTTCATTTTAAAAAAATGCTGCAACAATTTTTGAAATTTGGAAAATTATTTATTTTTTTTGTCAAAACCAATTTCCAGACATTCTTCTCTGTCTACCATCTCTTGCCCCCGCCACCAGTATCATTACAAATTTGTCGTGGAGCAACATTATTTATGATCTACTTTTTTTAATATTTTTTTGTCTTTTAATCTTTTGCAAAAAATTGTGAGAAATTAAAACAGAATATAATTAATATCATTATTAATTATTTATAATCTACCTTTTTTTTAATATTTTTTTTGTCTTTTAAATCTTTTGCAAAAAGATTGTGAGAAACTAAAACAGAATGTAATTAATATCATTACACTTTATCTTACAAAAGTTTTTTTTTTTTTTTTTTTGTGAATGATCTCTTTTTCACCTATAATGTTCACCAACCGAACCAATGTGAGACACATACAA